ATAAATAATATACCGGCAGCGTAATTGAGAATTTAGCCTACTGGGATAGGAGTGGGCCTACCTTATAATAATTATAAAGCTGCTACTTACTGCTATCAATAGTAATGTCACATTTATTGTTTCTCCAATGGTAGGTATACATTTGCTTAATTAAATTACTTCGTTGCCCTTTTTATTTATTTGGAAATAAAAGCTGATTTTGATGTACTTAATTTTGAATAATTACATAAACAACTCAAAGTTTCAAATTCAGTACATGTTTCCCATCGTTAATTTATTTTATTTATTTTATGATTTGCTAACGATACTATTTTCAATCATACAAATACAATAAAGTATTTTATACGTATATCACAAATATTTTCATAAATTTTAATTACACATTATCCTAAAAATTACTATTCAAAACTTTTTTTCTCTACAATAATAGTTGTTAAACTATTACAAGTTTAAAAAGTCGCATTTTCTTAAAAATAAAATAAAAATGTTAGATAAGTCTAGCGAGGCATGTGTAATATGAATAAATCTGCAAGTACGGAAAAAATCCCACAGATTTTGCACGGGAACGGATTTTGCATAGGAAGACGGCTGTCAAAATCTGTGAGTTTTTTCCTGTACTTATAGCATTGTTCTTGTAATATTGATCGAGTTTATCTTCATTTTTTCAAAATTCATTTTCAACCACACATTTTTCTGTAAAATAATATTGTACGTAAATCGAAAATTTTTACTTATTTTTTAACCACTATTCTCTTAAAAAATTATTACTTAAAAACATTTTTCTTTATAAAAATAAGGCTGAAACATGGGCTTAAATATGTTTGACTACATAACATTGTTACTGCCATTTTATCTAATTTATTGGATAAGTTATCAATATTATAATCTCCTTTGCATCTCCATCAAATTTAAATAAAAGGGAGAAAATAATTTCGGCAACTTGTAATGAATAGGTAACGTATCTAAAAAAGAAGTTAATTGAATGATTTAAATTAAGTTCATGTTTGTCCCTCATTCTATAAAAAAAAATATTTTTTCTTAAATTTATTTTTAACCCCACAATCTTTCAATAAAATAATTTTACACATAAATTAAATTTTTTTCCAACATTTAACCACATATTATCCAAAAAATCACAATTATAAAACTTTTTTTTTTCTCAACTATTATAGTCAGATCACTAACTCCAATTTCTTTTTAAATTGAGTCACGAGGATGGTAAACTTGGAATCATTTATGTAACATTTTAAAGTTCGCAAAAAATAAAATAAAATCCGTTTGATAAATTATTAAATCAATTATATCAGAAAATTAATTATTAAAACCCACCCACACTAGTGATAATTGATTCACACGCGCCAATAAAAATTCAACATCCTAAACCAAGCCAATGAATATTCCTTTGTAAGCGCGTGAAGGTCAAAACACAGTATCCTGTGTACTGTGCAATTGGGTAGATGAAGATAAAATATTGATTCGCTCTTCAAAAAAACCTGCACTATCTGGAAAAATTATCATTACAAACCGACGAAACCACAACCTTAAATGAAAACGATAGAATCGAAATTAAAAAAAATAGAAAAAAAAAGTCAAAGATAAGAATTAAATTAAACCGTTTTCTTGTACATTTATATCTCAAAAGACACAAGTGTAAAGCCAAAAACTTTACTACTGCAAGCTAGTTACATAATGAAATCCATGGCTAATTCCAGTTCTTCTTCCTCTTCTATACCCTCCCTCTCACCCCACCACCCACCCCATTTCACCCCTGTAAGTATTCAAACCTATATATACATTCTTTATGTTTGTAAAAATTATGTGTGTTTGATTTTTTGTGGGATTTTTGCAGATTTAAGAAGGTAATGAAGATGAGGAATTTAGTATTCTAAACTATGCATACATCATTTATGCGTCTGTTGATAGATAGATACATACACACACACACAAAATTTGGGTGCCTGTGTGACAATTGTATGTTTTTGATTTGATGGTTGTTTTTTGTGGGTTTTTGAAGATGATAAATTTTTGTATTCCAAACTTTACATACATCAATTATGCGTGTTTGTTTGTATATATATTTACACAAAACCTATGTGTTTGATTTTATTTTATTTTATATTTTTTTTGCACATATAAGAAGGCGATGAAAATGATGAATTTATTATTCCAAACTGTACATCAATTATTTATGCGTGTGTAAATTTATGCACGTATGTTTGTATGCACACAAAATTTTGGTGCCTATATGTGTGTGAAAACTGTGTGTTTTATTTTTTCTGTTGGTTAAATTTTTGCAGATTTAGGAAGGTTAGAAGATGAGGAATTAGTATTCCAAACTATACATACATTATTTGCGCGTGTTTTGTGCACAAAATTTGGGTGCTTGTGTGTATGATTTTTATGTAGTTATTTTTTGTGAGTTTTTTGCAGATTGAAGAAGGAAATGAAGATGAAGAATTTTCACAAGGTAGAAGCAGTTTTAGAGCAACGACTCCTAGTGAATATAGGCACCATCCTACGCCGTTGCATCAACATAGTTCGGAAAATCGAGGTAAAGGGTCTTCGAAAACGAGGCCGGATGGTGATGAGACTGCCGGAGTTTTGTGCAACAAGTGCCGGCCGAACAACCGGGAGAAATTTTCAGTTGTTCCTTTAGAGAATAATGGTGTTCATAAGCTTTCAATGTCTAGTCCCAATAGGTTATTCAAATCAATTTTAGCTTCTTTCGGGAAAAAAAGTCCTAAATCATCAGATGGCGGCTCCTCCACCGTGTCTATGGAGGAGCAGTGGAAGATTGCGGTGGCTGAGCTTTCGAATAAGCTGATTAAAGCTACTAAAAAGAGAGATGAAGCCATTCTCGAAGCTTCGAAATTGAAGTATTCAATGGCCGAGCTCGAAAAGAAGCTAAACAAGCTAGAAATTTACTGCCATAGCTTAAAATCTGGGCTTGAAGTTTGTAGCAGCACTAGTAATGCTTCTCCGTATCAAAATCCAAAGATTTGTTCGTCTTCTCATTTGAATTTGGAGTGCATAAAAGTCGGGGATCAAGAAAAAGTTATAGAGCATTTCTTGGTTTCTGTCTCTGAGGCAAGATCATCAATTCGGATTTTGAGTCGATCTTTAACGGTTCAGTTAAAACAAATGGGTGGAAAAGTCTTCGACAGAATTGCATCGCTACTTCAACCTTACGATATCAAGATTTCCCTATCAAGAAATCCTAGAAGCCTACTAACTTTCTATCTCGAGGCCTTGGTAAACAGAGCATTTTTTGAAGATTTCGAGTCCATTGGGTTCCAAAAGAGCTCACCAAATCAAATCTTGAATCCGATCAATCGTTGTGAAGCAAATTTCGCAATGTTCAATGCTTTACAAGGGTTGACATGGGATGAAGTTTTGAACAAAGGAACAAGACATTTTAGTGAAGATTTCAGTAAGTTTTGTGATAGGAAAATGAGTGAAATTGTGGCTATGTTGGGGTGGAACAGGGCTTGGTCTGAGCCACTTTTGCAGGCCTTTTTTGGTGCATCAAAGTCTGTGTGGCTAGTGCACCTTTTGGCTAACTCAGTGCACCCAAATCTACCCATTTTCAGAGTGGACAAAGCGGTTAGATTTGACTCGGTTTACATGGATGATATGAGTGGAGACAAGGCTAAGAAATTGGTTCCAACCATGGTTCGAATCATGGTCACACCCGGGTTCTATGTGTACAACAATGTGGTCAAGTGCAAGGTGCTTTGTAGGTATTACAATAACATTGATTTGCAAGTCCAGAAGGGGTTGATGACTCCATCGCCATCGTAACAAATGCAGTAGAAAAAGCTGTACCTTAGTGCGAGATGAAATGTGCGTTGATCGAATGCGCTTGCTTGATCTACACGGAGAAGAAATCTTTATGTGCTAAATTTGATGTATATTTTGATCTATATTTGTAATCTTGTGATATTGGATGAAGGTCATGTTTTGAAATTTCTTTCAAGGGATTGACGTTGATAGAAATTTATTTATTTATTTATATTTTGCCTTCAACATATTTGTCAAAGAACACTTTTCGGAACTCTCGCTAGTAAAATCTGGCTAGACTTTATTTTATAACATTTGATAGCATTGATACTTTCTAAATCACTCTAAGGCCCTGTTGAATTGCTCTTTCTTTTTCATGGGAGATGGAAATTAAAATCTATTTTCATATTTTTACATGTTTGATTGACTAAATTTTCCATGGAATTGGTTTTTACATTTTCTTGGTTTTTGAGGAAAAACTTTTCTAGGCATTTGTTTTTTTTTGTTGACAATTGAAACAAATTCTACGTCCAATTATAACAAATTATATCTTTTTAATTGACAATTTTCATGAAAAATAAAGTCAAACGAACACGAAAAGAACCAAAATTTCAATATTTTTCAGGTGGAGAATTATACCAATCAAACACAATTAATTGACAATTCCCATTAAAATAAGTTCTATGCAATTCAATTTCTTGAAATTCATTTTCTTTGCACTCAAATTTCATTCTTGCATCAAAAGGACCCTCAAATTGAGTTTAATTTTAAATATTGATTTGGTCGAGAGTACTAAAGCGTGCTTGTCTGAATTGACTTGACCTATCAATGAAAGTTTATAGGTTTCGCTCAACATGAGCATATACAATTGATGTTCAAATGACATAATTCTTCAAATATATTTAAGGCTTGGCACGATATATGCCGTGTGGTACAAAGGCCTATCAGTCAATTAAGCTTGAACTATAAGGAGTGGACATTTTGGGGCAGGATCTAAAAGTTCTTGAACTTTTTTTCTTCAATTTTTAAAAAGAATAAAAGTAGAGAGAACTCAAGGGTTTTTTGGCTTGACTAAAGTTCAAAGTCATAATTTAAACTTTTCACAAAGGTTCTGCACGAGGTCCCCTGCATGGACCACATACACAATTATATCGAAGTCTAGACTCAGTCAGATTCTTAGCTCCAAGTTACCCAACCTGTATTCCAAAGTAAAAAAGGTGGCATTTTCTTCCTGTTTCTATTACTAATCCGTCGCTCATTATGTTGACTTTTTGTTATCAAGTTTTCTCGTAATGGGTTGGATTCTTTATGAGGAATGTGAAGACAAATATCCTATTGTATTTTGTTTTTGTTCATTTCATGTTGCATGCTTCGACATGATTTACATATGTACGTACGCCAACCATATTGAGGTAATCAATAATTCTCGTTGGGAGTAATGATCAGACTCTACCATATTAAGCCCTTGGCAGTCATTTTTTCTCAAACTCATTTTCAGTCCCGTTTATTCTTCTCAAAATTCATTCTTTCAAATCTCATTTTCAAAATCACATTTTTCAATAAAATAATATTATATGCAAATCAAAAAAATTTTCTTATTTTTTAACCACATATTTTCCATTACGTACATCACATCATAAAGTGCATTCTTTTCTAAAAAATGTGCATCAAACACCCCCTCAATCATCCATTATCACAATAAAATATTATGTATTAAACCCAAATTTTTTTTTCCAATTTTTAACCACACATTCTCCAAAAAATCACTATTCCAAAATTCATTTTCTCAAAAAAAATAATTATTTCTAATGAGCATCAAACAATGGCCAAATCTTCTTCCATTATGCTACGAATCCATTATCTCATTGGATAAGTATACCAATTACTATAAATACAAGAATCCGAATAGATGAATTTGTCCATGTGGAGTGTAAAAAAATTAAAATTAAAAATATTCTACAAATATCCATTCTTTCAAGAGACCGATAAAATATCTCTAACATAGCGACATTTTAACACCTCCAGTAACGAGTTTTTCTCTGGGATTGTGCCGCCTTACTTTGTAACTGATACAGTATTGACAAGGCCAAGCACAAGTAGTACGGGTGGAGGAACGATCATGGTCAAGAAAGACTATGATAGTGCTTTGGCTACGGGTAAATTGTAATAATGTTGTTAAAAGAATAAAAAGCAAATAATTTTAACTAATTATTTGAATCATATCTTAATCTAAATGTAACTTACACAATTAATTTAATATTTTGAAAATTTAAACTCACCTTATCAGAACATAAATATTTTAATTCTGTAGACTGAGGCTGAAAAAATAATTATACTCAGTGTCATGGTCTTTTCTTTTGTATATTAAACGTTTTTCTCTGTCAAAAATGCTCTCCCCTGCTTTCCTGCAATAGAGTACAGGCTAATCACGGTCACCAGGTTGTGTTACAAAACTTCTATCTTCTGCGTTTTGATTCCTTCCTCATCTCTGCCATGTAACTCTCCAAGTTGGCTTTTTCCCATAGTCGTCTCTGAATAAGATCTTCCTTGGTTGATTCATCTAGAGGACACAATTGAAAGAATTAGATTGAAGAACCAAAACCGTACAATCAGAAATTCCCACTCAAACAGATAATAAAAGCTACATGTGAACTTTGCCAAAATTATGACTTGAAAATTTGTCAGAAACTATCCCCTTCACGACAAGAGAGCCTCCAGAGCAAGGAGGCAAGTGATATCAGAAATCATTAACCATCACTACTGTCACACCCACCCCCTTCCTTTCCCTTCAACAATGACAACAGAAATCACGTGGACTATGCTAGAGGACCAATATCAATTATCCAAAACTGTCTTCCTGTCTCTCTGTTTCTTTTGTACCCTTTTTATGGAGGCTATCTAGAAAGTGAATCACTTGATCCATATGACAGCAACCATATTTCCAGGTGGGTCCAAATGAACAAATCGAAGTGAGTCTCAGTGTATGAGTGCAGAAAGTTTAGAAACCTCATAAAGACATCAGCATTCCTAAGGTAATCTAGAATTACGATTGCAACTGAATATGAAAACAGCCCATACTGTCTAAGCGCAGGTTGAATTTTGAGATAGACAAGCTGTGCTACCTATATATCTCCATGAATCAGAAGTTGCTCCAAGAGATATTTTTGTTAAATAGGAGGCATCTTCCCATGAATACGGAGCTCGTTTCACCTTGTATCTCCAGAACCAACATCCATACCATAATAAAAGCTGTGGACAACAAAAATCAGTAGTCAAATTTAAGATTTCAGGTTAAAAGTGTACGGCAGCCACAAAAGATAGCAAATGAGAACAGCCAGAAAAATTAACGGCATTCTTTCATGCATCAGTAATTATTGTTAGAAAGAAGATCACACTAACCTTCCCGATGGTGTAAGGGAGTAGCAAGAAACGAATGCCCAAAAGTTCCCAAACAGGGGGCTTTTCAGCACCCTTTATCTGCAGATCAAGTTCCTTGCTGAGCTCTTCCTGTAGCTTCCTGCCACAAAAAGGGAAATCCAATCATCTTTACGACTTTACCTCAAAAGATCCATGAAAAAAGTGAGATATTGAGTGCATATAGAATCAAAATCCTAAAAGAAAAGGTATCAAATATAGAAATGACTGACAACTCACAACCATAGGTATTCAAAATAATCGTACTTATCTACTTGCTTGTTACTTTTCTTCTTAATTGTCGTTCCCCCAGTGCGTTCAAGTTCCAAGGCCTTTAGCTTATTTTTGTAGGCGGGTGACTTCTTTACCATGTCAATAGCCTGAAACAACAAACTTAATATAGCAGTGGAAGAGTAGGAAGCAAAGAGGGTAAGCCAAGTTCCATAGCTTCTATACGAAGCATGTGCACAGCATATTCTTCTCTACATAGTCCAATAATAATGAGGCAGTAACATTACAATCTACATTTGTTGAGCATAATGCCTACTAGTTGATAATACCATTATTAATGTATGAAAATGCTTCTCTGATAGAATAACTATTTCTGAACTCTGATATACAGGTGAATATGAAATAAGAAATAGCAACTGCCTAACAAATTCAAATCTATGGCTAAAAAGAATGTCCCAAGACAATTTATACTTCATTTATGCTTTCACGTTGCATCCTAATATTAACATTACCCTTAAATATATCCAATGATAACCCTTTATGAGAGATAGTCTCCAGGTTACCTGTGTATACCTTGTCCACTGGTTTAAATACTGGAATCCAGAGAGCACCAAAAGAAGTCCCACAAGGACAGCCCGAGGATCCTAGCAAAAGAAAATCATTAGTCAAAATATAGATAGATATGGATAAATGTAAAACAGAATGAAGACTAAAGTTTTCTAAGTCATGTTAATCTGGAATAAACTGAGTATATAAAAGATTAGAAAGAAAATGAAAAATGTTCGTACTGTTTTATGGCCATAGTAAGCATGGTAGTATCGAGCTGTGTTATAGAATACCTAATAAACAAGGAGAAAAAGGTTAAGAATTCCTGATTATGTTCAAAACCTAACTATTAAAAGAAATGGTTGCTCTTGATTTGAGAGAGAGAGAGGTGGACATCAATGCAGAGAAAAAAATTTGAACGCTTGTTTCTATATTTTGCACTGGTCAATGCACACATGTAATAAGTGAGAGAGAGATCATAGATGGAGGGCAATGACCACCCAAATTTTCTTAGATCAGTATAATCTCTTGTAACAAATGAAAAATGCATTGAAGATTTGGTGTGATTAAAAAAAACCCCCTTTCCAACACGTGAAATTCTTATCAGGATTTTTCTGTTATTCATCCAGTAAAGCCTGGCCTTTTGCACAAACCAACCTTTAGTAACTTATCATTTATGACAGGTAACGTGTGCCAAGGTTAATAGTAGGATAAATATACTTTCATCATACACTTAAATCATATATTCTTCATTAAATCCTAATCATGGCACTGAATTGGTCAAACAAAACTCGGAATGACAATATCTTGCTTCATTACGGTAGTGTCAA